TAAGTAATATATTAATTTAGTAACAAAATCTAGTCAGATAGTTTATTAAATATTCATTTATTTATTAATTTTATTATTAAATATTACTAACCAAAATCTCAAAATTTAGTTATCCAACATACATATTCATCTTTATATAATATATATAGATAAAAAAAAAATATAAAAAATACTTTATAACTACTGTATTCCAATTCTAACTATATATATATAATACTATATATATATTTCAAATCTAACTACTATATCTAACTATATACAGTATATTATATATTTTGAATCTAACTACATACTAACTACTGCACTAAATTTAGACCTAATTACTATATCTAACTATATACTATATATTTCGAATCTAACTGCTAACTACTATACTATATCTAGAATTTAATTACTATATACATTTCGAATTCAATTATGTACTAACTACTGCATTACATCTTGACCTAATTACTATATACTATATATTTCGAATCTAATTGCTAACTACTATACTATGTCTAAAATTTAATTACTATATCATATACATTTCGAATTTAACTATGTACTAACTACTGCACTACATCTTGACCTAATTACTATATCTAACTATATACTATATATTTCAAATCTAACTGCTAACTACTGTACTATATCTAGAATTTAATTGCTATATACATTTCGAATTCAACTACTAACAACTGCACTACATCTAGAACCTAATTGCTATATACATTTTGAATCTAACTACTAACTCTGCACTATGTCTAGAACTTAATTACTACATGCATTTCAAATCTAACTATTGTGATATATTTAGAATTTAATTATTATGCTACTTCCAGAATCTACTACTATGCTAAATTTAGAATCTAACAACCGTGCTATATCTAGCTTTGATAAATTGTGCTATATCCAGCTTTAACATTATACTATGTCCAATTCTAACAACCATGCTATGTCCAGCTTTAATATTGTACTATGTCCAATTCTAACAACCATGCTATGTCTAAAATTTAATTTCTATATCTCAGAATCTAAATACCATGTTATGTTCAGTTCTAACTACTGCATTATGTTTGGTTTTAACTACTGTACTATATCTAGTCTAACTACTATGCTACGTCCAGAACCTAACAACCTTGCTATGCTCAGAATCTAACTACCACGCTATATTCAGAATCTATCACCTATACTACATCTAGCTCTAACAACAACAATAATATTATGTTTAGTTCTAACAATCATACTATGTCTAGTTCTAACAACCATGTTATGTCTAGCTCTAACAATTGTGCTATATCTAGTTCTAACAACCATATCATACCCAGAGCCTAACTACTGTGCTCTAACTGCCATGCTACATTCAGTTCTAACTACTGTGCTATGTCTAGCTCTAACAACTCTGCTACGTTCAGCCCTAACAACCATGCCATATTTAACTCTAACATCTAGCTCTAACAGCTACGCTACATTCAATTCTTAACAAACATGCCACATCTAGCCCTAATTCTGTAATTACTATATTATGTTCAATTCTAACTACTATGCTATATCTAGTTCTGACTACTTACTAGTTACTATGCTATATCTAGTTCTAAATACTATGCTATGTTTGCTCTAATTACTGTACTATGTTCATCTGACAACTATGTCTAGATACTATTAGAGATGCAGACATTTGGAATTTTGGAAATAGCTACTCCAACAAAAATATCATAGCAATATAGTATATAAATGCTATATGCCATCATTCACCTTAATTTGCACAGATCGAATTTTAAAATTTTTACGTATAACATTTTTGAGAATATTAGACATCGATATGTCTGAAAGCTAACCAATTTTTGACATATTTTCACCTATTGGAAGGATATTAGTTCAGATAGGCATATCAGATATTAGATACTTCTAACAAAAAGTATTGGATATCTGTTATGCCTATCGGAACCAATATCCTTCTGATAGGTGAAAATACATGCCAAAAATAGGTTAGCTATCAGACATAATCAAACATGTTTTTTAAGATCACATTTTAAAACATTTGCCATCTCTGATGCCCATAGTCCTGGTACTTAGTGCCTATAACATCTGGCATTTAGAGGTCTGCAACCCAGGCTTGTTCCTGTGCCTAACAAAAAAGTTAGGCATGGGCATGGGCATGTGCATGGGCACAAAAATTGAATATTTATTATTTAATTGTGTCTGGCACTTTGCCCAGCACCTTGTGCCTAGCATTTTATGCCTATGCTTTTAATAGTGCCTAGCACTTTTGTGCCTATAGACACAGGCATGGCATAAGGCACTAGTGCCCGGCCTGGTGCCAATGTGCTAGGCATAGACATTTGCAGACCTTTATATAGTGCCTGGCACTTAGTATATATAGTGCCAGTACTGTGCCCACAGTGCCTATAATAGTACCTATAGTGCCTATAATAATGTCCATAGTGTCTATAATAATGCCGGGCACTTTAGTGCCTGTGCCTATTATAATGCCTAACATTTTGTGCCCATACCTATAGTAATGCCTGGCACTTTTGTGCCTTTGGCATAGGCATATTAATGCCTGGCATAGTGCCAATATGCCAGGCATGGGCATTTGCAGAGTCTTAGTTATTTTCTACGAAGAACCTAAAGATATTCTGCTAAACATTGATACGAAAAAAAAGATATTTGTATGATATGTAAAAGTGTTATTGATCCAAGTCTTAAAGACTTAGTTACAATTTTAAACTGTAAACATTTTTACCATAAAGAATGCATTAGTGATATGTGTCCGCTATGTCAAGAACAAACTAATAGGATTGAAAATACATCGATTTATCATCAAGAAAGTAGCTGTTTTATTAACTCATTATTGAATTTAGAATGTGCTAACATTTCTATTTCACTTACTGAATTTACCAAATCCACATTTACTAAATTCATTGAACCTACTGAACCTACATTTACTGAATTCACTGAACACACATTTACTGAATCTACTGAACTCACATTTACTAAATCCACTGAATCAACCAAACTTATTGAATCTATCAAATCTACAGAGTCTAATGGTATGCTTGTTAAATTTACTAAACTTATCACCTCTTTTATATCAGTTGAATATACTGAATCTATTGCTTTTGTAGATTCTACAGATTTCACTTCTGCACCTATTGAGTCAATTGAATATGCTAAGACATCTAAGTTTACTAAATTTAAAACAACTAAATCAAAAGCAATATTTAAAAAAACACAAATGATTTAGTTATTAAAAGAACCAAACACACCTGTTAGAAGGGAATGCAAAAATAATAGCAGTAACAACAATAATATTAATATTAATAACAATAATA